TAAATGTTATAGTACAATCAAATAAAGTGCCTCACCCCCCATACAGACATAAAATGGGATAATTAGTATTTCAGTAGTAAATAACCCCTTTGAATTGGCCAAAATTATATTGAATAGTAAATACATATTTACATGTCTTGTTATAATATTATTGCCAAAAGTATGGATGCTATTAACAAGAGATTGGAATGTAGAAATGAGTTGACTCAGACAAGATTAATAAAACACACTTGTATAGCTTTGAAGTTAATATCTAGTAATAAATCAGTTTGCATGTACGTCTTCCATCTCAACCCTGCCTGTACCACTCTCTGGAGCCTCCTTACCAATTATGTCTTTGAGGAGCAAGTGAATTCATTTCCTCTTATTTAAATGCATACATTATATCCCTGCGTACATTTCAGCCATTCCAGTTGTAATTCAAAAGACTGGATATGCACACAAGACAGACCAAAGTTAAAACATGTAAAACAAAAGGGTATTTTAATTCTTGTACATTCTGCTTTACGAAGCCAATAATGAGCCAATGATTTTCTAGCTATTATTTATAATTATTGAGTTCTGAATCTTAATATTTCAAAGATTAACTTTGAAAATCCTATCTGAAAGAGTCAATAATTCCACTTTTTAGCAATTTAAATCTACTACTTAGGCTTAATACTCATGAAGTCTAAACCAAGTTCTTGAAAATCTTGACATATTTTCTTTCTCCAAAAATTATTTTTGTGGAAAATGTATTTAAATGTCAAATAGATTTCAAATAGATAATTTATGGTATTTAATTGCATTTAAAAACTTCATACTCAAAGTTTTGATACCAGAAACTAACATCCATCAGCTTAGCAAAATCCCAAATGAAAGAAAACATAATCAGCCTAGACTTTTTTTAAGTGAAATGAAGACATTTTATCAAAAAGACCTTGAATTTTGTGAAAAAAGAAATTGCTTGAAATATAAAAGATCTTCAAGTATTTCTTTTCATCTTTAACATTATCCCCTCTGTTGCTTTTTCTTTTGATTTGCAAAATCAGATGAAAACATATCTAAACGTATCCAGAAGATATCACAGGGAGTTCAACTCACTTCTTGAAAGAACCGATGACATTATATGATAAATAAATTTTTCTTGTTTCAAGTTATGTTTGAATCCTTATTCCATCAAAGGCTGGAATGTGAGAACAAGAAAAATCCACCTCATGATTTGTGATTACAACAAGCAAGCATCACAAGATAGTTTTCAAACAATGTTGTTAGGATACAATTAACAACATCATATAAGAGTATCTGCATCACTCATTACTTCTGTCGAAATCAAGGACTACAAACTGTTTTCTACACAGATATTTCCCAGTTAGTACAATATGTATTCTGACAAGGAAATTTGGCAATGCAACATCTTTTTTGGAGCAGTCATTATGATCACACTAGGATCGGCTAAATCCTACAACCAATGTCCCTTTTCATACTTTAACTTGTGTAAATTATGCTGTTTACAAAGCTGTTTTCAAGATATAAGTACTATGTCATAATTAATGTTTTCTACTAGGTATGCAATACAGACTTGAAGGCCAGGATAAAGTTTTCTACTTGAAAATAGGAATATAACTGTGGAAGAAATATGTGAAGTTCAAAAGGCTGTGTAAAAGTTTTATAGCAAGCAACTCTTGAACACAAGGCCACATATTTTAACTACTACTATCATTCTGTGTGCCACCAAAAACACTTAGGTGCATTTGAATAAGAGTGGGTGTGCTTTGTGTATTTGACAGTATCGTCTTGTTGCTTGCTGCTTGCATGGAAAACATGCCGGTAAAGAGTTTCAGAACCTAAATCTATATCCTTTCATATTTAAGAATTTCTGTATGTTTTGATTTAAAATAAGCACAAACTACTCCACACACTTTGAAAAGACAAAGTATGATCAAGAAATTTGTATTAATAATATAAAGTCATGTTTATATGTCAATTTATACATCATAATGAACGAATGAACAAGAACACAACTGTACATTTAAAATAAAATAAAATTTAAAAAGAAAGAACAAAATAGGCAGCCTGCATAGTGACAAGAGTGTGTTTCCCCTCACGCCAGTGAAGTTTTAGCTGTGAGCATGCTCAGAAACATGGGAGGCACCCACGTTACTATATCAGAACTCCTTCAGAGGTGTAAGGAGGCTCCCTCTAATAACTCAATCACTGTAAACCTATTGTTATTTTTCTGATATTAAAATCTCTTCAGCATCAGATTGATTGCAATGTTTCTCCTACTTCATTTCATCTTTCTCATGGATGCCACAGGTAAGCCTGTTGCTCTCTCACTTTAAATGAGTGCGAGTCCCAAAGAACATAAAATATCTGTTTAGTTTTGTGGCGTTTATAATAGACTCATTGCAATGTTTGAAAAAGAGATATCAAGCTTGCATTTTACTATCAGTATCATTGAGTGCAGCCTCATGCAGCCTAGCAGTTTCTGGATGCAATTTTTTATGGAAATTTGCTTTTATATGTTATTAGAGCTACAAGTGAAATAATTTTAAAGATAATGCTGATTATATCAATTATAGCAGAGAAAATACTTTTAGTATTTATTTTTAAAATATAGGGTAAGTTAATAATCTGAATTTTTTTTAAAAAATTCAACCTGTTCAAATATGTCCGTAAAACATATGTAATTATTAGTAACTCTGTTTTGTTGTTAACATAGCCTGGGAACTGCAAAGCCAAAGACAAATTAAGAATAGTATCTCAACCTAAGAGTTAACCTACATAAAACAAGGTTATTAAAAATCTAAAATACTACATCTATTTGGATAATTTTCATCTGTGTTTTGAGTTTTAATTTTAGTTAACTAGTTTTCAAATCAGTAACATTTTATTGGATAGCCAACAAAAAAATAAATTAAAGTCTTTACCTGGTTTTGAAGAAAGATTTGTTTTTCTTAGAGCCTGTACACTTATAAATAACCCATTCATCATCCCAATGAATACTGAGTTTATTATCATTATTGTCCAAAAATGTATCTATTTTAATTCACAGTTTTTCTTTAACATTTTTATCAACTTCTAAGAATAAATGTCATAATTTAAAATCATTTTTGTTTTCTAAGGAGCCTTTCTGAAGCTTATAAAATATACAACTCTATTAAACAAATTTTAACAGAACATTTTTAATCTTTAAGTAAAATACAGTGCTTATAAACATAAATGCAATATATATGCAATATTTAAGGACATTTAACAAACAAAAGATTTTTAAGCTTTTTAAAATTGTATCTTGAAGTTGAAATGATATTAAAACTTTATTCCAAATCAATGATACTCTTTGTTTCAAATCATTTTAAAATCTTACCCTAATATATTTCACACGGTTTTTATTTTGTTTTATTCTCTCTTACATGAAAAGCTAATTACATCAAAAGAAAAACAAAGTGTGACCTCGTCTGTCATGAAATTCAGTTATAGAAAGCAATTTCTTTAAGTTCTTACATCTCAGAGGTTCATTTCCTATCTATATATGTAATATTCAGTTTTATAGAATTTTTAAGAACAAACAGTTTAAAAGTAGGTTAGTAGATTTGGATATATCATAGAGATCATCTGTGCTCTTAAATTTTTCTTTAATGTACAGGACTGTTATTGTTAACCAGTTTACTATTGCTTTTCTTTGTGATAATACATTTAATTGATCAAGTTAAACACTTGAAAAAACAAAACCCATCTATCTAAAATAATATTTTATGCTTTTTCTATCATGCAGTGGAATTATTTAAACCAAAAAGAAAGAAACTTTAAACAGATTTTTTTATATCTAAGTGAATGTAAATTTCACATCCACAATACAACGTAACAAATAGTTCTCTGGAAATTTACCTTTGATTGCTAACTTTATATTTAAAATTATTCCTTTTCAAAGTAAAACATAGTAGTCAATGCTTTGATATCTCGCTCTTGCTTATGAAAATAAGCTTTTGCTATATAATCAGTAAAACTTTTTCTTTTTCACAATAAATAGTTAAAATGATAAGGCTCCTTATAATAATTAAAGAAAGTATATATAAGAATTTTGTCAAAGTAAAAATTACTTTCTATATTTAAATAAATACTTGTGACAGATTCTTGGTGCAGGTTAAACAAAATAAAAAGTTAAAAATTTTCTTCTCTCTTTGGGTCATGATTACTTTGGAATGCCTAATGAGTAGATAATACTGACTTCTTGACTTTATCTACAAAATGACAACTGTGTATAACCCCTCATATTATTATTACATGTATTTTACCATTAACTTATTTACTGTGTATTAACCAACTTCTAACCACTTTTTTAAAAGTTTTTTTTTTGGTAAACTAAAATGGACAATATTAAAAACAAAAATCACAAACTTATATAGGAAATTAAAGTATCAAGTTTTGAGTCTCTTACTTGGTCACTACCAATTGCTACTTGCTGAAATAATTTGCTAACCTTCAAAATATATGGTCCCCAGAAGCAGAACCCAGCAGCATTTTGTAGTGAGCAGTGTTTGGCTGCCCCCTTATGGCCAAATTCAAGGTGTGACAGGGATGGTTTTTCCAAAATGATGTCAGTTAATGGTTGCTATGACTTGAGAAAAGGTTTTCCAACTATATTTTAATTTCACACGGTTACATCCATGCTTCCGATAGCTGTAAAAATTGATTCTATTTCAGACCAGTGATCCTGAGGGATTGAGGTTGCACCACTAATGAAGCAGAAACTTTGCTTTTGCTTAAATGGAGCTGGCTGTGAGGGAAGAGGGAAAGCTCATATGCCCAGAAGTCCAAGCTTTGCAGGAGTGTGATGTCTAAAGGCACAGCTATACCTCACAATGGATACTACTCATTGTTCATCTCAGTACAACCAGTCATAATGAAGGAGTTTTAGGGACTCTCAAATAAAGTGGATGAAATTGTCTGACACTTGATTTATAGACAGAAGATTGGGATGCTGCTCTCCAATAAGTCGATATTAAACAACTGCACATTTTATCCTGGAAAATAGTGTCCCAAGGAATGAGGAATGTATGTACTTATATAACCACAAAAGCAGAAAGTTTTCAGGAGCAAATATCTATTTAAGAACCCAAAGTGGCTTGGTTTATTTATTTGGTTTATGTGTAACTTATTTATTAAGCAGAATGAATGTGCTTATTTTACATGGGAACAATAGTAGAATTAGAGGCATAATTAATTAGAAACAAAAAATGAATCTGTCTTCTACAATGTATTCTTATCACTTCAGTTTTTACCCCTATAATTCTAGAGTGAGAAAGAATCCTTCAAATGTTTAGGGCACAAAAAAATAGTTTGCTATGGTGGCCACACTGTTACATGTCTTTGAAAAGTGGCCCAAAACCAAAATAAAATCATTGATTTAAGGCTAACGTGATAAACAGTACTTTGACAGTTTTACTTTTGAAAGGGTACTGTGGTTGTGAAACTAACTTTATTGTTGTTCAATATGATGGGTAAAATTCCAACCCTTCTTTCTTATCTTGAGTCTCCCTTCCACCCTACTTCTGACTTGGGTTCCTGATTCTACTCCTGTTCATGTTTAATTAACCTATAAAAATTGTACCTATTTATGAGGTAGTGATGTTTTGATACATGTATGCATTGTGTAATGTCCAAATCAAGGCAAATATATCTATCTGTCTCCTCAAATACTTATCATTTTTATGGTGAAAATATTCAAAATTGCTTCTTTCAGCTTATTTTTATTTTTTACATTTTATTAACATATATTAATTTATTAATAAGGCAGAGTATAATATTTTAATATATGCACACAGCATGCATTGATTAAATCCAGCTACTTAGCACTTCCTCTCCTTAGCTTTTCTTTATGTTTGGAGCCTTTGAGTTCCTCTCTTCTACATAGAAGCAAATACCACATATTCTCACATACAAAAGCTAAAACAGTCACTCTGAATATAGAAAAATGACTACAAAAGGCTTGGAAGGGTGAGAGAAAAGGGGGAGGGGGTAAAATGAGGTTAGATAATGGATACCAAAGCACAGGTAGAAGAAATACTGTTTCACAGCACAGCAAGATGATTATATCAGAATAACCTATTATTTGTTTTATGAGACTGTTGCTCTGTTCACTTCTTGAGTACTTACCCTATTCTCACTTTTTCAGGCATCTGTCTTAGAAACCCACCTGGCTTCTTTTCCCACAACATCTACATCTTATTTACTCATTCTCATCCCGTGTTTCCTGGTTTCTTCACTTCTGAAATCCTCCTCTTTTCTTGTCTCTACTCACCAATCTCCCATTCTATGAGCTCTTCCCTTCCGCAGCTCTGCCTTTGACCTTGCTAAATCTCATTCTTTCCAACTCCCACAACTGTGCTATCCTAATTATTTCCACCTGCCTTTACATTTCCACCTTAGAAGCCATCCATCCCTCATCCTGCCCCCTTATTCAGGTATTCCTCACCTCTAATTACTTCCTGTCTTTGCTGAGCTTCCTCCCCAAGGGTTTCCTTCAGCTTTGTCTCTGCCTTTGTCTCACTTCCTGTCTGTTATTTGCCTCTATCCAATCAGCTCCTGGCCTTGTCAGTGATTACCATTTCTATGTCTATGATTCCTAGAACACAAGCCCAAACCGAGACAAATGGATACTACATCTCTCTCTCTCTCTCTCTCTCTCTCTATCTATCTATCTATCTATCTATCTATCTCTATCTCTCATTGAGTTTATTGGTACATTTTAGGTATACGGTACAGTTACATTTGTCATTGGGATCTTGTACCTTTACATGACAGATCTTGGTTCTCATTTTTTCCCCTCATCCCTGCCCTCCCTTCACCCCCTCCTCCCCTCCCTATTTACAAATACTTTATTTCCATTGTTTTTCATTTTCTCATATTTTTTTCTTTTCCCTTATTCCCTTTCCCCTACCCTTCCCACTATCCCTACACCTGTAGCCCTTTTCTTCCTATTTCACATTGTCAATTTGAACACTACATCTTAATGTTTTAACACTAGCATGTTTTTCTTTAGCTCATAATGCTTTGCCTACAATTCTGAAACCCAGAAAGCTCTGAAAGCTGTTTAATCACTTTTGCCCAAAAGAAATGTGGTCTAAGTTAACCAAAAGCTATGTAGTTTCCATATACTTATTGTACAATTCATGTATTTGGGCTATAGCAAATTGTTAATGTTTGATTATGGCATTTTCCCCAGACTAGTAGGAAGCATTATACTTTTATAATATATAAATATGTAATCACATTAACTTTCTAAAGTTAAAATTATAAATTTTACAGTGTATTTCTAGAAAGAGTTTCTGCTAAGGCAATACAGATCCACACTAGTTGTTACCCAATTCAGATCCTCAACTGTCTTGTACCACACTGTGCTCACCAGTGGTAGAACAACTACTTTCTTTGCCCAAAGAATTTCAGTGTTAATGTATTTGATGAGAGAAAAATAGTTTTAGCTAATTATCTTTCTCTGACTTCAGTTAATTTTGCTCTTTCTTTGATTCTAATTTGTCATTCAATTTCTTAGTTTTTAATTTCATCGACTATATTTTTCACTCTAATTGTATTTAAACCTGTTCTGGTTGTATAAGCTTCTATTCTTATTTCACAGAGTTCTTTCCATTCATTTCTTGAGGAGTTCAAGCACTGTTGTTTTGTTTCCTTTTTTTTTTTTTTTTGTAATAGAGTCTTGCTTGCTTACTATGTTACTCAGAGTGGTCTCAGACTCCTGGGCTCAAGCGATCCTCCTGCCTCAAGTCCTGAGTAGCTGGAACTATTATCCTTCATGAAAAAAAAGATATATTTTAATATACTTTTAAAGTATTATTATCCCTCATTCTTCAAGTGTGCATTCTTCTCTTTTTGGAGCCCCAGACACATTCATAAAGTTAATTTTTCTCCTCCTCTTGGTTTCCTGCCAATGGTCTTATGAGTATCCTCACATAGGCTATGATGTATCTGGCTTGTTTCAGTCTTTCAGGTGTTCTATCTTGTAGAGGATCCAGTCAAACCTCAAGCTCAAGGTGTCACACTGCATTCCTGCTGGCCATGGACAAAAGGCTTTATTTGAATCACCACCATGAGGAGTCAGGCAAAGCTCCTCCCTCCCCACCCTTGATGAGGGCTCAGGCCCAGACTTGGCTTCATGTGGGTCCCAGTCTCTGCTGCCCAGGCTGTGGGTCAAGTGCTTAGCTCCCCTTAAAGCAGTCACCTTTTCCCTATTCCTCATCTGTGGAGACTTTTCTCTCTTATGAGCCTAAGGGGTTGGGTGAAAGCACAATAGCAGTTTTTTGCATATCTTTGGAAAAGAATAAGGCATAGAAGCTTACTCAGGATTTACTCAAAATGAATGAACTGGTCCATCAGTCAGAAAAGAAGGTGATTTTGATCCTTGAAATTGTGGTTTGTCAGAGAGGGGACATGGGAAGGCACATGCAACAGATTTAGAGTCATGAAGTAAAGTACTTAGAATAGGTTAGATAGCAGAGTGACAAGCATGCTGGATTTGGGGTCAACAGACCCAAATAACATCACAGTTCTGATTTTTTACTAGCATTCAGCCTATGCATCTGTCTTGATGTTAATCGCCCTTCTATTCCATAGAAGAAATTAATAAACTCCTAAAAATTGGGTAGAAAAGAGAGCTTTCTGCTTTGGGGCCATATGTGCTTTTATCTTCTTCCAGCTTTCATTATCTGCTGTTTTGTTTGATTGTCATCCAGCCCGTGGACACTGAATTGGCCATTGCCTGTATCTCTGTCTCTCCCTCTCTCTTTGTTCTGTTTATAGCTTGCCTGAGACATTCTCTCAGTCATATAGACTAAAAATAGTATCTATTGCTGCAGATATTTCTACCCCTAATTTCCTTTTATGTAAACCTGTGGTATTTAAGGAATTAGAATATATAATTCTCTTACAAGATGCCTTAAGGGGGACACTGCAAAAGATTTCCTTAAAAGCTTCAGCTTCTGTTGAGGATGAGAGGAGATAATGTCTTTATGTAAACATCCTTACAGGTAAGAAAAGGATAACAATCTGTACAGAGTGGTATTGAAAACTTCTCTGGCCTTATTTGAAGTCATTTCCTTTATAGCTACCTCCTGTTTCCCATTTTAAAATACTGCTTTTACTGTAATAACCAAAGCTAAAATTATCTACTGAGAAAAGTAAGTTGCCCTCCCTAAGAAAACAGGGTTTCACAAATGCTAGGCTATTTTTGCCTATTGTACATGCAAAGTGCAAGTTTTGCAAAGAGTAAAGTGTGAGGAAATTACCTGGTGTATATGACCAGATTCCCAGAGTACTGTGGGCTGCTTATTTCACCTACATAGAGTTCTCTGGAAAATTAGAAGAGACCTAACCATTTCCACTCCTCCAAGGTGAATAACTTCAATCAAAAATATCAATACAAAAAATGAGCATTAGTATAAAATAAATGAAAAGAAGGAAAATGATTGTAAAGTTTCTCCATTCAGTGAACCCACACTGATGTCTTATCCAACACACGTGCCTACCTTGAACCTAAGCTTCTGACATAGGTTACCATTGAAGGCATTTGTCTCCCCACTCCCATATACGGAGATTCAAATATACGGCTCACTTATGGAAACAACATTGTTATACCTGAAAATGTTAAAAGTGGACAATAAATTTTGAGGCATATGCTATATGCTTCAAACTGAGAACACTTCCAGTCTTTGGGAGAATCAAAATTAATAAATTTCTACTTACTGGGGCACAATGAACTGTTCAAAAATGAATAATATCCATAACTAGAATACACTGTCATTAACTATTACAATAGCTTGAGAAGAAGAAAGTTTGTACTCTGGTGTGACCTGGGAAGGAGTTAGTAAGGTTTTCCTAGGTTTTCAGATGAATATGAAAGAAAGAGGAACTAGAAAAAAGAAAGAAATTGCATTTCAGATACAAAGTACAGCAGCACATACCAAAATCTCAAGATTGAATTGTTATAAAATTTGGGGTACCAGAAACCTTTTGCTGAATGACTTCAAGGTAACTGTAGAACT